AAAAATAATAACTCAATCTCACTGGTGGAATTAAATAAAATAATAATTTCTCTCTCCTCACCTCAACTTTTAGAGAATTTTTTATATTTAGAGTTTTTTTTCCATGATTCTTTATTTTAGAGAACAAAATAACAAAGCCATTGGAGCATTTTAGAGAATGAAAAGTCATTCTTTTTTCTATTTTAGAGAAACTGTTGGAGATCTCTTATAAGCCTCAAGTTGTGGGTTACCATTAACTTCCACGATGCTTTTATGTTGGATTTGAAGTTATTAGGCCGACATGTTGTTTGGATTTTAGGGTATTATAAATGGTATCAGAGTTGATTCTTATACCATCAGGAGGGTGAGACAAATCTCATCGGGAATGATGAGTGCTAGAGAAGGATAAAGATTTTGGACAGACTTGACGAGAACGTCAGGAGTTGAAGTCAGGAAGTTTATAACAACTCATCCCACATTGATAAAAAATGAGATTTATGAGCTTCTTATAAGGCTCAACCTGTAGGATACCAATAACTTGCACGATGGTTTCATGCTAGATTTGAAGTTATTGATTCAACCTACATAAATAGGAGATTCATATGTGAATCAATAAAAATCCAGAAAAAACCATTTGATTATTCATATGAGTTAAATATACATATTTAAATGAATTTTTTTAATGATTTATATATCTATGATTTTTGTTAAATGTTTGTTTCTAGAATAACTTTCTTAAAAGAATTATTAATCTCTTGAAACGTTATCGTTCTATTATGAATGTACTGATTAATTCAAGGATCTAAATTTTTCTACTGTAAACATCACGTTTTTAACACAAAGTTGTGGAATTGTTGAGCAAGAGAACGAAAGTCAGTCATAATGATCCGGGATTCTCGTGTGAAAGGGCCAGAAGAGTTGCGTCAGAGACACCTTTATCTGAGGAGGAGGCTTGATTTTAACAAACGATGTAAATATAATAATATATAAAAAATCATTACATTAACATTTGCCATCATCAATATCCTACTTTATATGTTTCATGTGAACTCAAATGTACCACAATGTTTGACCATTCAATCCGAACCTTTGACTTTGACAAAATAACACATAACGACTTTACGTTTAATCAAATCTATAATTTCAAGTATTAGGTTAAATATTTCCTAATAGTCGTTCATGTACGTGTTGTGCATTAAAAATTTCAATAGACAGTTAATATCATTTTTTAAAAGTAAGTAGAAGGGTGTTCACACAATGCAGCGAAATATATCTCGATTTTAGTATTTTTTTTTCTTTTTGTCTTAATTTATGTTATAATACGGTTTTATGTGGTTTTGAAAAAACGATAATATTTTTATTTTTTAAATAAAATATAAATTTAAAGATATCATAAAAATTCAAAAAAAATATTGATATTGGTGTCATATTAATTATTTAAAATTTCTCATTTTTTTTGTGTATTTCTTTAATTCATTTTTTTATTTTTGGTTTAATAATATAATTTTTTATAAATATAATAATTAAGTATTTTTTTTGTTAGAACTCAATAATTATCCTAATTATATTTTAATTTTTTTATATTCAAAATGAGATGTTTATCATTTATTTGATTATGTTTATCTGAAGTTTGTTACACGAATTCAAACATGAAGTTTTAATAAGTTGTATTTACGCACAATTTACCTGTAATATTGAATTTTAAGTAATATGCATTAATATACAGTAATTCATGCATAAAAAATGGTTTTTAAGAGTTTTTGTCAAATACTTTATAATATAGTATACATTATATTTGAAAATTCAAATCCAGATACAACATATATCTGAATTAACCACGAAGAAAAATCAAAATATTTGAATTCCATATGATAAGGGCATGAGGTAGAAAGCACCAACATTATCCAATGAACAACTTGTATTGTTTGAATGGTGTGACAACTCAAAAATCAATTGGATCAAACCATTTTGAAAAGAGAAATTAGGTCTTTAATTGACACACCCACATGCTTGCTCCAATGTGTTCTTCAATGTCTTTTTATTTCAAAAATAAATAAATACTGAAATTAAATATATTATTGTAATAAACTCAGATCTTATAATAAACTCAGAAAAAGGGTAAGTTGATTTAAATATCTGTTATAATAAACTCAGATCTTATAAATTTAATCAGTTAAATGTTATTTAATTATAAATATTATGAATTATAAAAGAAACTTTTGGAAATGGGTCCTTACCTTACATGGATTTGGATTAGCAAGTATATGCACTTATCTATCATTTAGGCCAAAGTGCCCCTTTTTGACTACCCATTTCATCAAGTTTTTTATAATGCTTTATTTTAAATAAAAGATATTGAGTATATATTAAATGATTTTGAGATGGTTCTACCCGGTGATCAATAAGAAACAAATCCAATTATAAGGGTGGTGTCTGATTGGTTTGAGCTTGGACTCCAAATGTCAAAAGTGTCTGGAGGTCCCAGATTCAAATTCAAGGAAGAATAAAAATCTCATTGTGTGGTGACTCTGGGCTACCCACAAAGCAAGTGATTGTCTTGGGATTAATTGGCTCGTATAACGGATTGGATATTCATGTTAATAAAAAAAATGTTGGTCCCCCACTGAAAATGAAGCCCAATGGGCTTTTAGAGTAATAAATTGTATTGTATGGGTCTAGTGAACCACATGTGTGGTGTGGGTGTGGCCTAGGAAAATTAAACCCCACATGCTTTATTTATAATAATAGGAGATGTTTGTAACCAAAATTAAATGAATGGTTTTGGTTTCATTCTTAGAAAGGAGACATTCCAACAAATTTAACTGAAAAAGGTGTTCTTTTGCTCCATTTCATTATTGTACCAATTGGGGATATGTTGTTGGTGGTTGCATCAAAATGTAATTGAATTTATTATTTGGGTTCAGTTTCGGTTTCGATTTCGGTTTTTTCTTATAATAGAATAAATAATCGTTTTCAAAATAGTATTATCATCATGCCAATATATATATATATATATATATATACATACATATGGAGGTTCAAACGAGAACACCTTCATTTTATGATAACGCGAGAACACCCTTATCACATGTAAAATACGCGTAAGGGGACCATGTGATGTGCGGACGACATGTTCTACGACTTAGGCCGTGCCAAAGGTTGTTTGCGTCTATGTTTTAACATCACATGTGATGGTCTTGATGAGTTATAGTATCATATCAACAACAATCTTATCACATATGATAATACTTGTGAGGGGGCTTAATGGTGAAAGGGAGACTTGGCTCGCAACCAAGATCGCATCGAAAATCGTCTGCGTCTCTGATTTAGTATCATATGTGATGGAATAATAGTATCACATGTGATTGTCTATGGTAAAAGAATGTTCTCACATTCTCGTAAAATGAAAGTGTTCTCGTTTGTAAGAATCATGTTTTTGTCTTATTCTGTATTTCTTTTATAAATTTATTGTGGTTTATTTTAATATGTTTATACAATATATAAAGTATCAGACTAGAATTGGTATAAAAATGTAATAATAATTACAAAATATATTTATTAGCTTTGTTTCACTTTTTATTTTTTTGTAGTTTTTATCTGAGGCCGACTTAGAAATTTTCTTAAGTTGTAGCACTATTTGACTTTTAAAGAGGAAGATATGAACGTTTTTCACGAAATCATCATTAGTGTGTTGGTTTGTTCCATGCTTTTTTGTGTACGAGGTCTTGTTTAAGCATTTTATTACAATTTTTTTCCAAAACATGATAAATCTGAAATTAAAACAGTGGCGATTTAGGAGAAATTCGGGTAGGTTCCTAGTATTGGGTAATTTTTGAAGCCAATTGGAGTGGTGGATTTGGATTTTGTGAATAAGAAACAGTAAATGAAGAGAAAGATTGAGAAGATTAAAATGATAGGTTGGAGAGAATCGATATCCATATTCATGTTTAAGAAGATGGATTTTTGCAATTTTGGGAATCTCTGACGATGAAGACCAAGATGATGATAAATCAAGAAACTAGGAATTATTATAAAAAATTAAATCTAAATCCGAATCTTACAAACCAAACCTGATTTATAAAAGAATGTATTTAAATCCTACAAACCAAACACAATAAAAGATTCTAGATCCAACCCAATCCAAATCCCTCCATAAGACCCAAATCCCTCAAAAACAATCCTGCAAACCAAATGGACACTAAAAAAATGATACAAAAGGGGTCAAACCCAACCTAAGGTGGGTGAAAAGCAATGCAAACCAACTCTACTAAAAGAAACTTATGTTATTATTGTAGTTTCAAAATATATACAGTTGCACAGAACAAAATGATTAAGTAACACCTTTCACGACCCTATAATTTTTTACATTATGGCATCATATTCCATAGAGGTGCATCAGCCCCTGGTTTTTATACAAGAAAATAAACAAATAAAAGAGTATATTGCATATCTGGTCCCTATATTTTGGTTTGTTTTCGATTTATCCCCCTACAATTTATTTTATTACAGAAAAACAGTTACAGTATGATTTTGGCTTGTTTTAGTCCCTCCCACCAATACCGTTGGCCTTCCTTCCGTCAAGTCTCGTGCCCTTTTACATGGGGGCATTTTAGTCATTTTATCCTTTCCTTCTCACCTTCTCCGTCTTCCCTCTCCATCTCCATCTTTGCTTCTAGGGTTCAAACAGAACCAGATAAGAGATGGCAGCAGAGAGCAACAACAGCCATTTTCCGTGTCTGGGATTCGCAAGTCTCGATTAACACACACACACACACACACACACCATGCCACTGAAGGGAGATGTGACTTTTAGGAATCGAGTCCCAAATCTTTTTCACAAACGATGTTTTGTTTAACCCATACAGTCAGCTTAATCTATAAACAAACAAGTTGTTTCTAAAACTCGCGGATCTTTCTTGATGCCACCAAGAGTAGATAGTAGGACATACATAATACAACCAATATTTCCCCCTCATCAAAATACAGACCTTTTCTTTTACCAAGTTGTAGTCATAATCATTGATAACAAGGCACATAAAACAGTTTGCATTTTCATGTCAGCAATTAGATTCATATTTTACATACCATTTGCCATTTGCCATTTGCCATTTGCATCCTACAAAAAGGGAAATGCAAAAATGTGCAATCTTTTCCTACCAACCCATATCAACTACAACACACACTTCAATTAGATATGCCAGTTTTTGTGTTTCCATTGCAGGTAGTATGTATGTATGTATATATATACACACACACACACATAATTTATGACTTCTTACCTGAATCTGATGATGTCTTTGAAGACCCAACTGCACTTGATGAGTAAGTCCCACTTTTCTTCAACTTTCCTGGGAATTCTTTACCCTTCAATGACAGGCTCTTTTTAACCCGATTCCGGTTCAGTAGCAACATGGTGTTTCGAGAAGGAGCACTTAGAGCCCCTTCCACACAATTCCCAGCCTGAGTGCATCCCCATGGTCTAGATGGTCCATCCTCACGAAAAGGTCTCAGTCGGGGGAACCCACTTCTCAATTTTGAAAAAACCCTTTGATCAGGAGAAGTTTCTTCATCAGATTTGGCGCATACAGGACATGGAGGGTCGCTCTTACGGACTTTTGGTGTGGTTTGATCTAGGCATTCAGCATGGAAGACATGACGGCATGAAAGAACTCCGGTGACCGGCATGTCTCCGCTTCTAACAATCCGGCGGGAACTCCAGGGTGATCTCTGGGAAAGAAATCGCTCACACAGACCACATTTGTAACCGTATGATTGGTTAACTGATGGTCGGCTAAGGGTATCGGATTCAATCGGTTCAGAGACATCTGTAAAATCAAAGTCACAACTAGCAGTGCTGTTCAGCTGTCGGTCTCTCTGATGAAGGGTCTCATCAAAATCCGGAAATGGAGGTCCGTCTCCTTCAGATGGAAAGGTTAAGGGATGAACCGGTTTGGACATGAAGCAACGACGGCCTGTAAAGTTACGGTGGGAGGATTGTGATTTAGCCATTGCATCATAATCACTGCTGTCTGAACGGGAAGAAATAGAACCTCTGCTATCCTGAGGAGCAGAAATTCCCTGCAAACTAACGATCGTCAGCATACATTAAAAGCGACCGGATATTGAAAACTTCTGAAATAGCAGGTCATGCAGTTACGACCTCCCACCAAAAACACCTCATGTCAAGGTTTTTCATTTTTGAAAACCTTCTTTAATACCCACAAATATTTGGTGCTCTAAATGAAGATATTATAGATATAGAGTACCTCAATAGTTGGCGAAAAGGATAAAGACCCCAAAACTGCAAAAATGAATTGTAAAATAAAACATATCAGCATATGCAATACCACAATATATGAAGCATTTGAATCTTTCCACATCTTGAACACCTAATAAAGGTTAACAAGTCGGCATATACAAACACCATGTGCTTTTATTAGCAACTTTAAAAGTTCACAAGCAACGGATTCCGATCTCAAAACTAGAAAAGAGCGCTTTCAAGAAGTTCCCTTTGAAAAGGCAAAGAGCGCTTCAAGTCATCATAACGAAACAAGCAACAAACAACTTTCTTCAGTGTTTCTATTATGATCTTCTGAGTTGTTTGAGATTCAAACAAGATGTTCGCTTAAAATAACGAAACACAACAATATGCATGAATAAAGATTTAAATGTCATGCACATTACTGGGGTTGAGAGGAAAAGATCAGAGCATATTTAAAGAAACATGGAGAATAATATAAGCTCAAGAGAGAAAAAAATACAAATATAGTGGAAAATAGCAACAATTTCACAATTCTCTTCCATCGGTTAATAGAACAATGAGATCATATACCTTCAGCTCAAAGTGAATGTCAGAAGGCCCATTGAAACAAGTACACAGACATTCATTTCAGAGTAATGATTACTAGAGGTCAAAGAGTATCAAAAACTAAACTTCATTGGCCAGTACTATGACACCATAAATAATTAAGTTATAATAGTTTGGCATCCTGCAGAGAACCTGCAACCATTTCAGAGCACCAAGAGGAAATCTCCACCAGTTTCCTGCTTCCCTAGCTTCAATCAATTTTAGGGGTGTTCACCTTAATGCATAACCCGCATCAAACTACACGGTTTGGAACCTTCTTTGTGGCCAGCTCCGACTTGATTTTCTTTGCCCTTCAACTCTCAAGCTCCATTGGGGTTCTCCTTCTCAAATCTTAAGTTCTCAAACTTGTGTCTCATCTCTGAATCCGGAAAGTGGAAACACTCTCTCAAGGTCTCAACAACACTCATCTCTGAATCTCAAACACTCCCTTAACTGTCAAGCCCTCTATGTTCTAAAGATAAAGTAAAAAAAGACCTTCATTTTAGGCTTCATCTAAAATAAGATTTAAGAAGAATAACCTAAAGGGCTTGAGAGTTGAGGGAGTGTTGAAGAATAACCCTAAGACGACAAGTCCTTTTTATTTCATCTTTAGAATGCAAAGGGCCTGAGAGTTGAGGGAGTGTTTCGAGATTCGGAGGTGAGTGTCGTTGAGGCCTCGAGAGAGTGCTTCCACTTTCCAGATTCAGATGAGAGACAAACTTGAGAAGTTAAGAACATAAGATTTAAGAAGAATAACCCTAATGGAGCTTGAAAGTTGGATGTGGAGCGCAACGAAAATTGACAATCAAGAGTCGGAGCTTGGCCGCTTCTCTATGTCTATGTTCAACACAAAGACAAAAAGGTCAAAACCACTGGTTAAAAAAGAATAGACTGAAAGTTTGCAAGATGCAACATGGGCTGACAAGTAACATGGCCAAATCCAATAGTAATTTACAAAGCAAGCCTAAAATGATTATTTTATATTTAATAAAAAATATATTATATAATTATATATAATAATTAATAATTAATAAAAAATAATATGTGGTGCAGTTTGAACCGCGGGTTGGGTGATTGAAAACCGCAAACCAAACTGCATAGTGCGGAATAAAAAAAATACAGACCGTAAACCGTACAACGAAGGTTCCAAACCACGGTTTGGTGCATTGCAGGCGGCTTATGCGGGTTGAGTGATAAAATGAACACCCCTAAGCATCATGGTAAATGGAGGCAGACTTATGGTTTACTAGAGGCCAAAGAGTATAAAAACTAAACCTAATGCACAAGCCGATACTATTGACACCATAAATAATCCAATCTTAGGTTACAAGGGTTTGGGATCCTGCAGAGAACCTGCAAGCATTTCAGAGTCATAAAATGAAACCCCACCACTTTCCCAATGAACCATTTTCACAGCTTCAATCAATCTAACTTTCTAGAACATCCAACCTTATTAAGAAAAATCCTCATGATATAACACAGTAAATAGGACAACTCCATACTCTTAGTTGGATCATTCAAAGCTATACAGAGTCATCACAAGTCACAACCACATATGAAAACATCAAGAACAAGTCATTATACCTTTAACTGAACTAAGCACCGTACCATGATAATATTGCAGCATCAATAAAAGAAAAAAATATATATTAAACACCTTGGTGGAAACAGGAGCAATTTTATTAGTTCTCTTTTCCATCAGATGGTAGAACATTAATATTGTATGCCTTTAGCTCACAGTGAATGTTAGAAGATCTGTTAAAATAGGTATATAGACATTTGTTTGAGATATACCAATACATAGTACTTAAAAATGAAAAAATATTATACATCATGGTATATGGAGGCAGACTTACGATTCAGTAAAGGCCAAAGAGTATAAAAACTAAACCTCAATGCACAAGCTGGTACTATGACACAACAAATAATTCAAGTTTTGGGTTATAACGATTTGGCATCCTGCAGGGAACCTGCAAGCATTTCAAAGCCACAAAATGAAACGCCAGCAGTTTCCATTCAACTGCTTTCAAAGTTTCAATCAATTTGACTTTCTAGAACATTCAAATCTTAATTGTGAGAAATACTCATGATATAACATAGTAAAATTGAATAGGACTTCTCCATATTCTTAGTTGAATCATTCAAAGCTATACAAAGTCATCACAACCACATATGAAAACATCAAGAACAAGCTATTATACCCTTAACAAACCATCGTACCACAATAATGTTTCATCATCAGAAAAAGGAAAAACTATATTAAACACCTTGGTGGAAAACAGGAACAACTTTAGAGTTCTCTTTCTATCAGATGGTAGAACGTTAAGAACATAGGCCTTGAGCTCACAGAGAATGTTAGAAGGTCAGTTAATACATACAAGTACACAGATATTTGTTTGGAATATAACAATACATAATGTTTAAAAACCAAAAAAAAAAAAAAAAAAACTCTCATAGTATATGGAGGCAGACTTATGATTTACTAGAGGCCAAAGATTATCAAGAAAACTAAACCTCATTGCACAAGCCAGTACTATGACACCATAAATGATTCAATTTTAGGTTACAATGGTTTGGCATCCTGCAGAGAACCTGTAAGCATTTCAGAGCCATAAAATGGAAGCCCCGCCAGTTTCCCATTGAAGAAAACCAGTCCCCACTGACCCCTTCCAAAGCTTCAATCCTCTGAAATTTGTGGCCAGCAAGTCCCCAGTCCCCACTGACCCCTTCCAAAGCTTCAATCATTTGAAATTTATGGACTAATTCCAACTTATTTGGATACTCTTTTGAACTGCTTGTTTGGACAGATACTAATAACACAATGCAAATGAATGAGACGGCTCCATACTGAAAACTGAACAGTTATGCATTACTAAAAGACAACACAACTACATATGACAACATCAAGAAACAACGCATTCTATCCTCCACCCAACTAAGGGGCTGTTTGTTTGGCTCTTAATGGTTACATTAAGAGCCAACCTCTTAATCGGTAAGAGGTTAGATCTGTTTGGCAAAAAAAAACAACCCTCTTAATGGTTACAATAACCTCTTAACCATTTTGCATTTACTACCTCACTCAACCATTCAGACCGTTCTTTTTCCAATTTTACCCTTCCCACCCTTCTTCCCATCTCGTCTCTTCACGCAACAGARCTACCGGCCACCATCGCCAGCTTCGCCGGTCACCTCCACAGCTACTACCGGTCACCATCGCCGGTTGCCATTGCCATCGCCGGTCACCTCCATAGCTTCGCCGGTCGCCATCAAATCCTTATCCAGAAAGGCGCCGTCTTCTCCGAAACCAGATATGAGGAGCGAACCAAGTGGTAGCAACCAGCGACGAATCACATGTTCGAATCACAGGGACGAAATCGAGGGAAAGAACTGGAAAGGAGGGAGATCGAAATGAAAACAGAAACCGGATGGGAGAGGAGATCGGCTGGATTTGATCTCGATTTGGGTTGAAGTGAAACCCTAATTTCTTTTTGGATTTGATCTCGATTTGGATTTGATCTCGATTTGGGTTGAAGTGAAACCCTAATTTCTTTTTGGATTTGATCTCGATTTGGATTTGATCTCGATTTGGGTTGAAGTGAAACCCTAATTTCTTTTTTGGTATCTGTTAGTTCAATAAAAAAACAGGACCAAAGCATACAGGGTTAAAAGGGTAATTTGTTAACATTTACCAAACAACAATATTTCATTCAGGACTTAACCATTCTGACCCTCTTAACCATTCTGACCACTTAGCCATTCTGCACCAAACCATTCAGCAACTGCCAAACAGCCCCTAAGAATGGACAAAATATGAGGTTACTCAAAAGAAAAAAGACAATATTAAAAGTCATGGTTCATGGAGGCAGGCTTGTGATTAACTAGAGGTTGGAGTATCAAACAACTAACCCCTACTGCACAAGCTAGTACAAAGTAGCACCATAGATAATGGTAGTTTGGGACACAAATGGATTGGCATCCTGCAGAGAACCTGCAAGTATCTCAGAGCTAGAATGTTTCCATTTCTTTTACACAAAAATCACATATAAATGAAATAACTGAATAAGACTTTTCATCAAGTTTTTAGCTTTACTGATATATGGCTAACACCTTGGAAGTTGTGGATTTGAATCCTCCTTTCCCAATTCCTAAAAAAATGTCCTGCACTCTTAATTCAGGCTTGTCATTTGGACCAATACAACCATTTGTGACAACTCGGAGAATCATGTCATCATATAAGCAACGTGAATGAGCTCTTTACCAGCTCCCAAACACCTGAGGTGGAATCACCCAATGCTATTCATTCATCCTTTATTTTGAGCATCAATCCTCTGTAACAGCAGTACAGCACAATATATACCTGTTATCCATGAGGATTAATCTCACTTTTGTTCAAGCATGGCTGCACTATCATTACTGTTTATGCTTTGACTCTTTCACCTGAATGTTCAGTGGTCATGGCTACGTCAATCACTTTAAGATTGGTACATTAAATCCAGGGACGTGTACGTCAATTTACTTCAAAGTTAAAACCCAACTAGCAATTAACAAAAAGATCTAACTATATAACAACCACAACATAATAGGACTTTATAGCAGATAGTTGCATCCAAAAGAAGACCAGGAAAAACAAGTGGCAAGACATGAAATCAAATTTCAAGTTTACATAAATATTCTAAAACTATTAGAAATGTTAATCAGATATGAATATAAGAACGTAAACTGCAACGACACATGACAAAATAAAAGTTACCTCTCCTAGATGAATTTCCGAATTCATCAACACTGATTTCTTGTATTGTTGGAGGGGTCCACTGCTGCGCTGGAGAAAAGTCAGATGGACTGCTAATATATGGCCCAACTCCATCAGATGCAGAATGTCGATGATTGGGTAGATAATTTCCTCTTAACCAGCTCCTACTTTCTCTGCTGTTTGAGGATGTGGAAGATCCATACAATTGACTACCCTCCTGAGAACCAAATGATTGCCCTTCCGAATGGTACCGGATATCCCATCTTGGCGGAGGAGGTGAGAAGCTTGTATTGGTTCTCCAATAGGGCTCATGTGGACCCATGGACCAGTCACGACTAGCTGCATTAGACCCATGTGGCCTAGCAGCCACACAACAGAGGGACCCCGTTGTAGCTATCTTTTGGAATACTAAGAGATTATTCTTTCACTTGCTTTCTTGAATCTCCAACTATCTCACAAAACTCAAATCTACAAAACCATGCTTTTTCAAAGCAAAGGAGACAACTCACAATTCCTAATCTAGAGTTATCCAACGCATAATCTCCTTATCCAAGGGATAATAGTGTATTGTATAAAATACAACATATAATCCACCCTACTTCAAAGAAGCGAAAATATGTTCAGTTTCACAGTAGAAGACCTGGCATCAACAGGTACATGATTAGTTGCTTGACTTAACTTCTGAATGAAGGTAACAGTATAATAACCACTAGAATTTAAACTAAGATGATCAAAGTTCAAACAAGATAATCGGCCATACAATACATAAATATTTCAATCGACAGAGCAAATCTTAGCATAAGGGAAACTTTAATCTTGGTTAAACTACCTATTTTCCAACCGCGAGTGAAGTGTGACTATTTGTAACTAGGATTACCAATTCGAGGCTAACAAATGGTATGTTCTACGTTCAAAAACATTACCTAAAGATCACAGTCCATCACATCTGTAAATACAAGTTAATTTCATTTCATCCTAAAGATTAACCTTTTCACCATAAAGTTGGTTCAATTCTTTTTTGTAACTTTTGCTCCTCCAAGAGAAAGGAAAGAGTAACAGACTACCACATGCTTAATCTACATTCAATCAATTGAGCGGGCCCATAAAAAAATGATTACTTATGAGACAATCGTATTAAAACCGAAAAGCAAAATTGACAATGTCAACGAAAACGATGAAGTTCAAACTATATCCCCAATAAGTATTACACCCTGAAGTCAGCTGAAAGTAAGCAACTGACTACAAAACTGCCATACCTAGGTCTAAAAAATCAGCAAACATAAACTATAACAAATAAATGCAAAATAAGCTACGTCAAAGGCACATTTCTTGAAAGACGAAAAGGAGTTGGGAACACAACAGATTAACAAAATTTAAGAAGCTTTTATCGGTCAGGTAACATGAATAGGTACAGACAGATCAATTGTCGGAGTGTGTGTACTTACCGTGATGATTGTAGGGTTTTGGGAGACGAAGGGAAGGAGATGGAGCTGATGATGATGATGATGATGAAATGGAATCTTGTTATGCGTTGTCGACGCAGAAACCCTAATATAACGGAGAAAGATCCACTGTGATTGCCCCCTTTTTGCTATCATGCCCTCCTCCTTTCTACCATCTCTACTTTCCCATTCTTTTTCTTTTTTCTTTAAATATATTACTAATTAATATTTAAAATAAATTTTAATCATATAAAAGGTATCGTCAAAACACATGAATACCTAAATCTTCGTAGCAAAACATTGTGAAAGGTTCAGGATTTTTCTATCATAATGTTTTATTATAAAGTTTTAGTAATATTTTATAATCTTACAGATTTCATAAAAATTGGTTGATCAAAACTCAACCCATAAAACATAAATACAATACATAAAGTTATATTAGTTGTGTATTTTTAATGTTAGGTTTCTATCTCTTCATACGTTTTCGGATGAAATTGCACAATTTGTGTTCTGTTTTAAAACTCCTAATAATTAAGCACTGTTTTCAAAGTAGTGCTCCATTCCACCAGTCTTTCACCGACATTAATGTAAGATTTCATACTAACTGTATCAGATATTGTCCGTCTTGTCTACACGTAGACTCACGGTTTCAAAATACATCTTCTAGAAGAGGTATTAGAAAAGACCGGTCCGTTTAAAAAGGTTTGGACCAATTAAGGACCACTTGTGTGCTTTGGTCCAGCCTGATGACGTCACGGTTGAATCAGGACCAGTTAAGTTCCGATTTAGACCAAACGGTCTGCTCGTTTTGCCAATCTTTACATGGTGCTCCCTCTTCTCCAAGCTCCTGCAAATCACGTCTCATGGAACGTCGTCATACGCCCTTTTCATATCTATAAACATCACGTATAAGTCCTTACTATACCGTCTATACGTCTCCACGAGACGTTTGAGAAGTAGATGGTAGAACGATCGAAGACAAAAAACGAGTAAAAAGAAAACCGATTGAAATCCAAAGTCTCACTTTCTATAACACAAGCAAACAAGTAATGTAGCTTAGTTTATTACTCCCTGATGGTAGTACAACTCTTGAAGATACAACAATATGGTTTATGGGATCATCAACAAGATCCACACTTTGAAACATACATATTTTATGCATCATAGGATCCATCAATCCATCAAGTCACTTAGATGGGTGGTTGGTCTTCATCTTTGGAATCAGCCTTTTCGTCGTTATCCTCCTCCGAACCGTTATGATTTCCGTTGCCACCGTCCCCTGTTAACAAACGAAACAACATACCAAAAGGATCACCCGAGGTTTTCTTCAAAAAGACGATGAAATTTGCAAGAAAAACAAGTTGGAAAATACCTTCTCCTTCGCCTGCAGGAGCATAAGCTGAGCGCCTTGAACGAGATTGCTGCTGTGGTGATGGCTGATTTCATAATCAACACAGAGAAGACAAAAGTGATGATTTAGTAACGAGTAATTAGTATATCAAACCCTCGTACTAAGATTTCGTTAGAGTTTCTCCAGCTGATTAGGGAATTTTTGGCAACCATAAGCTATATTAATTCTTTTGAGCTTATTGAAAAAGTCGCGTTTGGTAATCATAAACTGATTTTTGAAATTGAAAAGCTATTTTAGATGGCTTTTCAATAAGCTTCAAGGACCTTTTTCACTTTTTTTCTTCCAATTATGCCCCTTATATGTTAGAATCAAGTATTTTTTTCAACATGACTTTTTAGGTCATTTTACATTGTCATCTAACTTATCAGCTTAGGGACTGTTTGGTTGGTTTTCCATTAAATCCCATACTTATAAAATTGTCTGCATCGATTAATCCATCTATAGATTGTGAAGGTTTTTGTTTAGGAGGGTTTTTATAGATAGGAGCGTATTTTTTAATTGGGAGGGGCGCCTTTGGAAAAAAAAACTTGGCTTTCTGCATAAATCTCCTCCTGAAAGCTTACTGAATAAGCAACTTTCTATATCATCCAGCCACTACCAAACAATCATATATAGGTGATTGAATAAGATGTGGGTCTCATTAAGCTGCTAACAAACAAACCCTTAGTTTTTATCAAACAAGACTAGCTTATCAGCTAACAGTTAGCTTATTAGCCAACAACTAACTTTTCAGCCAAAACAAAGCCTTAGGCAACCAGATTCTTGCATTATGCTACTTGATATACGTTGGTCTCGTAGTATTAGTAGATCTTTTTCAACATTTAGAGACATCAATATATCGGTTTGATGATCGTTTAAGGAACATAGATTTAAAATTCTTGAAGAAAGCATCAAATACCTGTAATTTAGGGCGGAGCGCCTCTAAAGGCCCTTTGCTCTTCTGTGATCCTTGCTGTTGCACAAAGATGACATGTTAACATCCATAATCGTATATAGACGCCAAACTCAAGATTTTATAGATTTAGTGTGACGGAATTCGATTAATTACCTTTCCCAGTGCCCAATCAGCAGAATCAAAAAAAGCCCGGTCATGGTCCTGTGCAAGATTGGTCAAGAAAGATGTCAAAATCTGAACTTTAAAGACTCTTTTTTCCTCCGAATATAATGAAAAGAACGGAATTTTACCTTTGAGATTAACGGGTTTTTCTTTGGTAACAACCCTCCATACTTTTTCTTGATAACAGCTTCCTGCAGAAAGAATGACATTGAATCTATGAGCTTTTTAGAAGATCACGAGGCTTAATTGATACTCCCATTAAGTATAAAACATATCATATTTACGAGCGTATATCAGTTTAAACGTGAAGTACAAAGGTACAAGATTCGAGTATGAAGATATACTTCCTGGTCCTTTGAGGGCATGGGGTTGTCATTGGTGCTTGTTTCAGACATTGGTGCTTACTGAGCTTTCCCAAGGCCTATTAAGAACACAAGCATTTAGTACCATTTAGCTTCTCTACCGTTGCCAAACTAACAAAAACGGACTCATCATCTACTAGGGGTACATTCGTCTCAGCAGGGATCAATAAAACCGGTTATCTAAAGAATAACCTTCAGACAGATCTTTTTAAATGCATTACTTTCTGACAGATTTGGCAGAGACGTTCTTAAATCTACAGATGTCATTTTCCCAACGAATTCTTGATAAAAAGTTTGTACAAAAACCAAAACCCATCCCAGATTTCTTCACCTGCTAAACAAAACTTGCTTCGTCGTTCTACCGCGATCCGAGATCTCCAATGCCAAACATTACTCAAATTGGTTAAAACACTTCCTTAAGGAGTGTATTTCCCCAATTGCAAATCCAATAAATTAGAGTTTCTAGACATACCCATTTGAGTCTTTTCTTAGAACAAAACAACATTTAATTCCAAATCTGTAAATCTAGGTACAAGAATGATATATATATATATATACACACACACACACACATATATATATATAGCACAGAATCAATAGGCTGCATTTCCAAGAACATGAAGAAAACAACCTGAGGTTCCATAGGCTAAAGAACACATAAATCTACTTAAAAACTGTAAGATCTACCCATAAATTCATACACCCACAACAAAAAACCACTCGTAAATCCCAAAGTTGAAATATTTAAGTGAATCAGTTGGCATCAATTCAATACTCATTGATTGCAATCATTAAACAAGAACACACACAAACTGCTGTATCTGTATGATTAATGGAACTGTAGAGATATAATTGCTTTACAAATTCATGGATTATAAGAAAACCCCAAGTGAAAAAAACGAAACTAATTAAAGAAATCTTGAAAATAAGTAGATTTGAGGAAGAAGAAGATGATGATGACGACTTTTGTGTTTTGACTTCTTACCTGAGCCGATAGTCTTGCAAGAAATTTGCAAAGGGAAATCAAGATTTCTTTCTTGTTTTGAAAGGAGATCAAGATTTCAGACAGGGTGTTGAGTGTTTCGTTCCCAAGATGTAAAATTAAATAATAAAAAATTCAATTTTATTAATTAAATACGTTGTTGTCAGTCGAGTCGAGGTCAAGACATATTTATTGAGCCCATGGGCTTCAATTCGTTTTGTTCATATCATATCATATTATTATCCACTTCATATCATTAAACTCGATCAATTGGGATTTTATGTTCTCTTTCAATTCATGCCATAAATGAACGATGGTGAGGAGTTCTATTAAGTTTGTATTTATCAGATAAAAATATAGTTTATCAGTATTTTATTTTGATGACTGAGAATGTTATTAAATAAGATAAATGAGAGTGATGATTATTATCAGTAAATATTTACTTTGTAAGCGTTCGATAAATGACTCTTTAGTTTAAAATAGAATATAAAAAACAAACACGGTCTTATTATACCTTTAGTCTAAAATAGAATATTGAAAACAAACAAGGTCTCTAAGGGTGCATTTGGTATATTGAATAAAATATAACATAGATTACTATTTCATGTTTGGCATAACTTTTACATGGAACAGACAAAAACATGGTAGAACAAAAATTGAAGAGACGTGTTCCATCTTCATCCCATGGAACAAACCTATATTCTACCAATATACTCTCAAAATAAAATTTTATTTTATCTTCTAAAACGTCAAATATATCTTTCTTTTTACATTTTATTCATTCTTTAAATATTATTTATTGTATTTTATTCTCTTTAAAATTTCACTTTACTCTGCTCAAAATATTATTTTTATACGGTTTCTATATTTTGGTTAATTTTTACATTTTATTACAAATTAATAACAAAATAATAACATATAAAAGGTATAAATAGAATTTTAAAATTGATAAAGTTCATATTTTTGTGTCATTTTAATCGTCTTGTTCCTGCATGATCCGATCAATTTGATCGGGCACTCGCCATCCTCAGGATAGACACCTTGCTGAAGCCCTAGGAGGGGAAGGAGTTAGTCTTCTAGTTTATCCCATCCCCCATACATGGTCTTACGACTTTGTAGATACCTGTGTTTTTGGTAAACAGTCGTCTGGGTCTGGTCACTGCAACCCCCTTTGTGAGGAGGCACTCCCTCCTCCCGAAGTTATGGGGCTATTTTACCCCTATTTCACGGAAATCTGTGTTAGGTAGGCCAAGGGATCACTAATTAATTCGGATCACTTACAATACATGGCTCTATGAAGGAAGGGAGGAGGCCCGACGTCAAGTGCAGGAATTGTTGTCGAAGGGGCGAGAGAGTCTCAGTTCGTGTTTAACGCCTACTTGACTAGCTCAAAAGAAGTGTCATTTTAATCGTCTTGATGAAAACTATCTAATGATATATTGTGTTACAAAAAATACCCTTGATTTAATGAAACTAACGCTAATGGAGTTAAAGAAAGGGACCCGATTCATAACGAAAGTGAAACCACAATAACCATACATGTAATTCTTTCGTTTTATATATATATATATATATATATATATATATATATATATATATATATAGAGTGTAAATAGGTGTTGTATGTGGTGAAAACTCCAGCTAAAAGTTGAAGAAACTGATAATTTGATGGAGTAGGAAGTTGTTGCCCAAAGTTGAGCAGGTTAGGATACAGTAGTGCTGAATCCAAAAAGACCCATTGACAACCAACTCTTAACACACCCATTATCCTCGTTCTATACCAACTCTACTATCTACATCTTTGTATAAATTCCCAGATTCTCCTTCCCATTTTCACAAACAATTTCACCACCATTTCAATTCTATTCAGCTGCTTATCGCTTTTCGATCAACCAAAAACCCGAAATATGACAAAGGCCGTACGTTTGGAAGAGGGTGATGCATCCAAAGTCCCAGTGCCTGCTGGTTCAAACAAAGCGGTTTCCATCATGGATCTTGTTTCTCGCCTTGTTGGTATTACGGGTACTTTAGGTGCCGCCATTGCCATGGGAACCAATGAACAAACTCTACCTTTCTTTACTCGGTTTGTGCGTTTCGATGCACAATATGATGATTTTCGGTCTTTCAGGTATGTTTTACTTGATGATAACCTGCTAATGATATCTTGTCTGATAGTCTTTTTTTAATTCATTTTTTCCTTCTTTCCATCGTATTTCAGGTTGTTTGTGGTTGTCAACGCCATAGTTTGTGCATATTTCTTCCTCAGCATCCCGTTATCCATCGTTCACATCATGAGGAGTGCGGCAAGAGGAACCAGAATCCTCTTGGTTATCCTCGACACGGTAATAAGACATAATCATCAATGCAAGATCATTGTATCCCTAACAGGGGTACAGTGTTCCTGCATTAATGAAGATGTATATTATATACTCTTCATCATAACCTGATCGGTTAATTAATTTCTAACATTTTTTAAAACCCATTTTGAAGATCATGCTTGCTCTTCTCACTGCGGGGGCATCTGCCGCGGCATCAATCGTGTATCTGGCTCACAATGGGAACAGTTCCACGAATTGGTTGCCAGTGTGTCAACAATACGGGGACTTTTGTCAGGGCGCATCTGGTTCGCTCATTGGATCGTTTGGAGGAGTCGTCGTGTTCATCCTCATCATCTTGCTTGCTGCCATTGCCTTATCTCGACAAGCAAAACGCGTGGTTTGATTAATTCGTCATCAATTTGTTCGGTCGTGTGTAACTTCACCTTGTGTTTCCGGATTGATATCGTGTGAAATCTCTCATATTTGAATGAAATGTAACAAAGTTTGATTAAATTTTGGAGTATTTTTTATGTTCACTTTCATATCAAAAAAGAAAATTTAAACGATTACAAGTAATATTTCAACATCATTTATCCGAGATTCATTTGCTACGCTAGCACTGCCACAAGATCATCGATCGATTTCAACGTCTTCTCATAGTACAAATATGATTCGTACACCTTCGGAGATCGAACATAATGATCAAACTGCAACACATAGCAGATTAAGTTGTTATATGAAGGGTTTAATTATCAATTAAAGTGAAATAAACTAAATTTCGCTTTATAAGATGCCTAGATTGTCTAAGCTTCCTAATAGAATATTTTACAAAACTTAGTTTTATAGGACCAAGCTTAAAGCATCCTATCTAAAAGCGTTCGTAATATGTTTATTAGACGTTTTAAATGTCCTATTAGCTATTCTATAAAACACTTTTGAGAAAATATGTCCTATAAACCCATCTTTTTATAGAACATTTTTTCAAATAATGTCATATAAAATAGTTAATACGACACTTTATTTTAAAAACATTCTAAAAATTTGTTAAAACTTATAAACCTATTGTAACAATTTTATATACATTACTAAATGGAAGACTTTTACTTACGGATGTTTCCCAGGAAATCTTTCGCTAAAGAATTGATTGGTCAGAAAACCGTCACAAAGTTCGTGGGCTATTCACTGAATTCAAATCAGTGACAGATTAACAATGTATTTTATGGGTGATCCGTTGGTATTTTCTTGAAAAACATCAATTCCACCGGAAGCATTGGTATTTTCTAGATTATCCGTCGGTAATCAACAACGAAAATTTCTAAGGACGATTTTTGTGTGTAAAGGTAAATTGTTTTGTAGTGATAGAACAGTTTTTGGTTTGATTCTATAAACTTAAGTCCTAATTTTTGGTTTGATCCTATAAACTTAAGTCATATAAAGTATTTTTTTAAGGACATTTCTACATTTTTAAGGCATTTTATAAAATTAATTTTATTGTTTTTTTTTTTTTGAGCAGGTAAGGATATATATATACCTCAGACATGTTGTCAACCAACTCATTAGCAGCTTTAACGTAAGAACCTTTTTTGGTTTCTGGTACCATGGACATGGCGTTCTTCAAGTCCTGAGATAGATAAGCCGCCTTTAATCTTATATAAAACAATACATACCTCCACGACATCGTTTCCAACATGTTTCTAATACTATGCAAACCCTCTCTTGTCTGCCGGATTCTCGCCACTGCGTCCTCCGGCGACAACCCCGGCTCGAAAAACCGTTCTTTTATGAAGGATCTTGTGCCCCAATTCTCGGCTAGTGCTACTTGCTCATTAACGTTGTTTAATCCCATGAGTGAAATGGAGGTGGTTAGAAGTGTGGTGGTGATGAATCTCCGGCGGTTGGTTTGGGGTTCTTCACCGGAGAATGTGGCCCGTATTGGTGGAAGTCGATGGTGGCGGCGGGAGGCGGTGATTTGGGGGTGGAAGAGGGTGGTGGGGTTTGTGTAAGTGGTCATGGTTTAAGATACGGTGGGAGTTGAGATATGGTGGAAAGTGTTGGTAATGCAAAGGGATTTACGGGCAGTTTACGGGCAGGTACTTGGTGCTGCCCGTTAATCCAACATGGACCTTTGCTTTTGATGACGTGGCAGTCGTTATCTTCTTGAGTAAATTTTCATAAAGGTCCTTAGAAGTTTAGAGTACACGATTATGTGTCTCAAATTATCAATATAATTTAACTAGTTGTATGCCTGCTTAATGCGGCAGGATGTCAAATTTCCTAATAAACCTACGGGTAAATTGCATGAAAAAGTAACGTACTTTAACTTGATTCCTATTTTGGGTAACGTACTTTCAAAACTTCCATTTTGGTATCCAAGATGTAAAGTTTTAAACATTTAAGTACCTGAGTAATCACTTGAAAACTAAAATTAGATTAAAAAAAAGACTAATTTTATATTTAAAAAAATCTACGTCACTGACCACGTCAGTAAATAATACCGAGTTAGATACCACAACACTCGCCACATCAGCATGATAATCGGTTAATACTTCAACCAGTTACCCGGGTACTTAAATGTTTAAAACTTTACATCTTAGGTACCAAAATGAAAGTTTTGAAATTACATTATCCAAAATATGAATCAAGTCAAAGTACGTTACTTTTTCATGCAATTTGTCATAAATCTACAACTAAAAAAAATGCAATCATTCATTAAAAGTACAAAATTTAAATTTAAACATTCGATCTTTCGGGGAAACCCTTAGAAATATTTAAACCTCGATTCCTTATGGTTGAGTATCCGTGCGATGCAACAAGATGTAATCAAGTACAATGTAGCAAATAAGGAATAAGAGGTGAACTTTATTGTACACAAGCATGAAAATCAATTATGGTGTCCAAATAGTTATATTGAAGGAAGAAACAAATATCTAGTGAATATATTTGGGAAAAAAAATTATCTTATACAAGCCGAAATAGAAACCAATATCCTAATCAATCGAGATGACCAAAAATCAAACCCCACCGCATCTAGATCAACTGCAGCATAGTTTCATCTACACTTTAACAACCACCGTGAAAGCATCCATACCAGCATCAAACGTCCAAGGAGTCTACAAATCCCTTTTGAATTCCAAAAAATCCAAGGTTATTTTAGCATTCCTCTAGATCAACCATCGAAAAAAGACCCTTTGAGCACCATTGTCCAAAATCAAAGTCATCGACTCTAATCTTAAAAGGCACCTTGCACACGGAGTTCCCGTGAAAAGCACTCTTCAGCCATTTTTTCAAAACCACAGCAACACAAACCATCTTCATGTTCTAAGAATTTAGTGTTGGTACGCGACATCAATCTAAGTAACAATATCCAAAGTTGAAGTTATGGTTTGATATTGAGCAGCAAAGGCTGAGCTGCATAATATTAAAATGAAGTGCTAACGAAAGCCATATGTCAAACCCAAATATTAGATAAAAGAGATAAAATGAAGAAAAGTATCGTAAAGTAACAAGTAGCAAATTAAAATTTAGGTGATGAAACAAAGAATCTAAAGTAGAAGTTCATAGGATAACCTCAAGTAGAAGGATCAAATATTGAGGATTTGAGGTTCACAAAATATGTGGTGAATGTTTAACGCTGTTCATGTTGTACGTATGTTGGACCCAGAAAGGTCACAATTTCCCTCAACGTGGCTAATTCTTTCTCATCAACATAACAAAAGGCAATGCAGAAATATGAATCTGTTGAGCACCAAGAACGGAGCATCACATGTAAAAATGTACATATTAAGCAACTAATGAAATAGTAATCAAATCATTATTTGTGTTCATTTCCTTGAAGCATACATCATCCTAGAAATATCCCAACAATCGCATATCACACAAATGATCACCAAATTTTCAATTTTGTTGTAAAACGTTGACAATCTTTATATGTTGCTTCTGTACCACATTAACTGTACTTTTTGACCCCCCCCCCAATTACAAACGGAACTAAATCTGGTTCAAATTAGTTCCCTGATTCTCAAATTATTTACGTTTTTCACATGAAGACTCCATCATTTACATATACACTGAAGCCTCCACAAAGTTAAAATGCTTAAAGTTATCATTTACACTGTTAACAGATGATACACCATTTAAGGGGATTGCACTTGTAAAGCGTTTTATTTTCCTTGTTCCATCTGGGATGCCGGAAGTTCTTGCTTGAAGATGCAATTTTGTCATGGCAACCAAGTCCTCCCCAACTGCTGTTCTTGATCCATTACCTGGTGCCGATCCTGCAATATTATCAATCATACTAACAACCGAACCAATGTCGCTAACTGAGGCACTCAAGGATTTTGGTGAGATTGACTTTACCTACAAAGTAAATTGAATGCTATTATAAACTGTAAAGGTTCGATGTTTGGTGCAGAAGTTCTTAACTCCCCCACTAATTATGTAAACTAAAAATTTGGTTTCTTGAACAGATTTATCAAAATTTTGATTATTGTAAATTTCTTATGCCATTTCCCAGTGAAGATTAAATGTAAAACATAAATGCACAAAGGGGAGAAGGGAATAATAACCTGTAGCTCACTCCAATGCCTCTGATCGAGAGTAAGGCCATCTGGGAAGAACCCTAAAACTCACATAAGTGAAATCTTGAATGGAATCAACATAGAGGAACAATTAATTCGCTAGCCCATAGAAAACTAAGAACCCTAACCAACCAAATGAAGATGGAAAATAAAAATAATTACCTCGATTGGAACCCTAGCCATATTCGAAGCATGGATCGCGAGTGTCTGGAGCGATTACATGGTGATCCTGAATAAGTAATCATCATACGGGAGCTTGAATCGTCAATTTCTGCATCATTACTTTAGGAGGGAAATCGATGAGAGCGTGTGGAGCGATGAGAGCTTGTCTTGGGAAGACAATCTTCTTAGAGGAGTGTGAATGTAGCATCAAATCATCATATGGGGAGCTTGAATGGCCATCTTGGGAACATGAATCCATGAGAACGTAGAGAAGGCGACAGGGGGGCAATTCTTGGGCTGATGACTTTTAAGAAAATATCATTGGAAATCTAAACCCTAAGTTCAGCATTAACAATTTGTACATCAACCTTCAAGTCTTTTATAATTTTATGCATGTAAAAGTTGTACATTTTTAAGACTTTATGCATTAAAAAATGGTACCTTATGCATTTTAGATTGTTTTTAAGACTTTTTCCAAATTTGCTTTATAAAGTAGTATAGATAAAGAGCAAATTATGCTTTTAGTCCCTATCGTTTATTAAAAATTTCCATTTTCTTCTCTGTGATTAGAAATTACAATTTTCATCCATATGGTTTGAAATTTATTGCTATTTTTGTTTCTATACTAATTCTCACTTTTAAAGTATAAAGGACAAAAATAGTACAGAACTACAAACCATAGAAACCAAAAGAACGATAAAATTATAAAGCATAAGAATGAAAATATAATAAATTACAAACCATAAAGATTAAAACTGTAATTTCAAAACTATAGGGATGAAAATCATAGCTTTTAACAACGTGATTTCCTCTATAATAAATGATAGGATCACTACAACGGATAAAAATCAACTATCCTAAATTATATGTATTATTTATATCCGATGGTTACCAATAAAAATCTGGAAAATAAAAATGGGACCAGGTACCATCGGGTTACCAATAAATTATTGACAAGTTGTTTTTTCAACAAATTACCAACAACTATGGTGTCGTTATGTTGTTGAGGATAAAATTTTGTGTCAGCTTGTACAGATAAATTGTCAACAACCAGTTTTTAGATGAATTACTAATAGAAAAGTCATCGAAAATCCATCAATAACCTATCTGTTGGTGATCTATCATAAATCCGTCGATAAAATTGCTTTTAAACAATATTTTTAATTGTTTATATTTCATGTAATTATCTTGTAAATATCCATTACAAAATCTATTTTTAATACACAAAATCAGATAATACTCAAATTCAATAAACATCTGATATTCATATAACAGTAGTATATATTAGCTAGGAGTAGGGCCAAAAGGGGAAATTCTACAATCTTCATCTCTTCAAAAGCCTTTTATCATTTGCTCCATTCCTCTTTATAAGCCTTCAAGTCAATATGGCCCATACACTATACATATACAGGGGAAAGATCTTTTTGTCAACCAGTGTATTGGTGTTAATTTTACAAACTCTCTAAACCAATAGGAATCCATCTGATCTCATGGTTCATATCTCACCGTGTATGTACTGTTTGAGGGCAAATTTGTAGTTTTATATTTTTGTTTAAATGGTTGTTACAGTGGTCCATGATTTTAGCCATTTTTAAGTTATCATTGATTTTCCAATTTTTTACCATGTTTGTTTATAGACGAAGAATCATGGAAATCCAACCTGAACACTTGTACGCTTCGTTGTTACTTCTTTTCCACATGATGTTGTATCTGAACATGATATTACGAAAAACAATTTCACCGAAAATTAATTGAAATTATCATGTTTCGTGATAACCATTGTGTTCATGAGTGAACATATATGGCATATGAATTATGTGTTCATATGTAAACATCTTCATTGATATTGTTCATCAGTGAAGGTGTTCACTGGTCACTAATAAAGTTCCAGTATTCAATCATATCATTTAACACGTGTTCATTAGTAGTCATATTTAACAACAGTCAATCATATCATTTCGTACTATTTTTTGACCAATATTAAGGATTTCATACTCTTATTTAAAAAGACAAAAATAACCTTTAGATCTAATTTAACCACACCACACCCACCCTCACCTCCAGCCACCTCTACCGCCGCAAATTAATACCATTTTTATTTCATCATTATATAATATCTTATAACTTAAGCAAAAAAAAATACAAAAAATATTTTAACCATTTCTAATTGTTCCATTACTATTTGAGGTTATATCCGGGGACGGATCTAAGCTTTAAACACCGGGGGAAAGACCTTCAGTCAAAAACCAAAAATCTTTATTGACTAACTTAAATTTTCTATTTTCATTTTTGTTTTACATGGTTTTTCCACAGTCTCATATGACCAAAAATCCTTCCCTTAAGTCCCATCGAACGTGCTCCCACCCGATTAATTTCTTGGATTCGTCACTGGATAGATCCAACTCATTTAACAGATATCATTCCATTTTACAACAACTTTATTTGTATTCTAGCTATTTTAACACGTTACATTAATTAAAAAAAACATTTTACAAGCCAAACGTAATATTATATCATAAAAATCCAACAAAATTTGGAAGGTTTGAGAAGAAAATGGGTATACATAACGAGTTTGTCTAACGTCAATGATAACAACCTCTTTGGGGGCATGCAGTGCACCAAAAATCTTGGAATCTGATTTTTGGCCACCCGAATATTCCTTTTTCTTGTACGCATGGTAAACCCCTATTTTTTCCATTTAATAAATACAATATATAATACGGATATATGTATTTCAAAAAAAAAAAAAAAGGAGATAAAGTAATTATAAAGCATTTAACAAATCTGATCTAAAATATGCATCAAGAAGCATATACCCAATTCAAAAGGAATTATGTTTACAAAATAAAATAATAAAACGATAGGTCATTAATTTTCTCTTTAAATTAGAAAACCAATTTATTGATGTTAAGAATAACCGATATTATCGTAATAATATGAACATATTACTGATTTTTTATATACCAGAAACGTATCAGTGCAATGAAAACTTGAACACTTAATTCTAATTCATGGTTCATTCGATTTTTAGGGGTTGTTTACCTAATCACTTACCCGGTAAGCGTTTACCCGTGAAATTCAACACTATAGCTTACTTACCAAGTAAGATTTTAGTCAACAAAAACAACATCGTATGCAACAATTTACCCGGTAAGCACTAACTGTGGTAAGAGCTGTCATTCTCACTTACAGGGTAAAATTTTTGGTCCTTGTTTCGCTCTTATCGGGTAAGATTCTTGGTCCCTACTATATTCATCCAGTAAGATAATCTAACTTGATAAGTGCTTACCCGAGTAAACGTTCGGTAAACAGCCCATTAGTCTTTCTCGATTTTAAGAACAAGATATATGTATTTTATAATACAGTAGTTGATTTATGTATTTTGAAATAGATGGAGTAATATATACGTATATCCAAATAATACGAGTTAACGTGAACAATTTTCGAACAAGACTTATAAATCCTGATCAGAAATTGACAATTAAACAATATAGTTTGCTTTTAGTTTAATTGGTCCATACCTACCACACCAATTCACCATAAAATTCCATTTCAACTTTCCAATTTTGTCCATTTCATTATTTATTAAACTCAAATCAAAAGGAACACGAAACGTACGTGCAAACTTATATACGGTTGAAAGTGGTCTCAGATGTTTTCATATGCATCTATCGTGTATGAACATATGGAAAGATGAGAGCTTGTCCACGTGATCACATGATAAGACCGTTTAATAAAAAAATAAATAAAAACTAAGATACTGAATAGTTCATGACGGGGAATGAAAATGACAAGGAATGAAATTTTGGGCTTATGGGGGAATAAGTCCATTATATTATATAATACCAAACAGTTTCTTTTATTTTCATTTCCATTGATTACTGTTTAATATCTCTAACCAAACACTCCGTAATATTATATTACCTTTCAACGATGGATTCAACTTTGTCATCGTTTTCGTTGTAATAATTGGCGTATTCTTAGTTTGTACACAATGGTATCTTACCTTTTTGCACAATTGACGGCTTAATTTCATTTCTAAAAAATATACTAATGAAAGCTCAAACCATTTTAAACAAATTTTAGATGATGTTTTAAATATTTACATAAAATAATTTGCATACTGACCCAATAAACGATTAATAACTGATCAAGATAATACAGATGTTTTTGAACTTCATATAATCATATTTATACATACAAATTAATCAAGTGAACAACACAAAATTTAACCTTTTTGATTTATTAAATTTCAAATGAGGTTCATTGAACCTCCGAATCGAATACCAGCCAATATAGACTTGAATACGATATTTTAAGTATTAAAAAAATGGTATTTAAGTTGAAACATAGGATTAAAACCTTAAAAGTCCAAAACATACAACTTTCAAGCCTTGGTTTGTTGCAAGAATTTGAATCCTTGATTTACTTGGATGGTGTCGCCCAACCATATTTTATTAGCCTCAAATTATATGAATACTAATTAAATATTATTTACATCTCATGATTCATAAAGAGAATATATATTTTAAATAAAAAGAATATATATTTTTATTTAAAACTGCTTTTATCGTGTGAATCTGGATCAATATCGTAAGTTCAATCGTAATGTAATAAAGCATCTACAGTTTTGTTCTTGTAAAAACTTTAAAAAACATATTTGTTACTGAACAAAAATTATAGAAAAACTTGGAAAACATTTTTACAAAATTACCCGAATCGAAAAATAGATATTTTTCGGTTTGGTATTAAAACTATTAATAAATAAAGAGATATTCCCCCCCTTTTATGACCAGACCTATTTTACAATTATGGGCAAATATTTCGTTTTGCCCTTCCTATCCTCGGATGAAACCCAATATTTTTGACATTATCATGCTATGTCAGTTCGTTCAATAGAATCATTGGAATTCAAACATCGGACTAAAAAAACTTGTATGGTTTAAGCTGTGTTGATGATTATCTTCAAACTTCAAAGGGTGTGATTCTTTGAGTCCTGTTCCAATAAACGTCGTAGGTGATTGCGTCATCATCCCCATTGTGGTTTCACTTTCGGTTCGACCATTGTTGTCATAATCCGTGTTGTGATCTCCTAGAATGTGAGAAATCGGGCCTAAAGATTCCAATTCCCATAAATGAGCAAGTGAAAATGTTCTCGGAATTTTCATTGATGGTAACTCCATGACATTGTTATGATCATCGGTTGCGGTATTTTGTGAATTTGTATTTTCCTCTCTTTGCTCCAAAGGTCTTCCGGGACTCTTTTTCTTGTAAATTCGACATAGGACCCAATCATCAAGCTGAAAATCACCACATACAACCAGATAAATTATTTCGCTCATCTGATCAATTTGGAAGAAAAAAACCCCATTGGAAATGAAATTGAACTTACCCTCATGGACCCAATTTTCTTTGCGGGTTGCGATCTTGACTCGTTCAATCGATACTCGTGCATAATCCAATCGGTCTTAATGCCCTTTGGAGGCTTACCACTGTAGAACACTAAAGCTTTCTTCACACCAACGTATTTTGATCCACTATAAATTGCTTTGTCCGTCCCCGTAGCCTTCCAATACCCTGAAACAGCCGCCCTATTGGGTCGAACACCATTAGGGTATTTTCTATCACGAGGCGTAAAGAAATACCATTCGTTTTCTCCGAATTCAGTTTTGTCTGCAATTGACAAGTTGAAACACGATCAACATACAACGAATCTTAGTAAAAAAATATCAATTGAAAAGAAAACACTAACCAGGCAACTGCCAAGGATCAAACTTGTAAATATCGACCTCGGGGATGATGGAAACGGGACAGGGCTTAGATAACGCTTGGTTTCGCAGGTAAAACATGATCAACTCTTCGTCGGTGGGATGGAAGCGAAAACCTGGAGGGAGATTAGAGTTTTCCCTTCCCACCATCACCATGTTAAAGAAAAGGGTATGGAATTTAGAAACAGGGGAAGAAATGGGAGAGTGTTTGAAATGTTTGCAAGGAGAAGGGATGAGAATTTATTTGAGGGGGTTATTTGTCCATTTGTGAGATTACGTCATTCTTGATTTTGATTGGTTGGTTTGACTTTTGACTTTGTATATGATCTCCAATAGGGACTTGGCACACACCCATGCTTGCAATTGCAAGTATTAATTTAATAGGATTCATCCTTACCCCTTATGGGAATATCTCTTTTTTATTTTTTTTTTCCTTCTTATTTGTGGTGCTTTAACAAACTTTCTTTTTTATGGCCACACTCCATTGACAAAGACTTACTATTTCTTTATTTATTTATATATATATATATATATATATATATATATATACTTGTTTTTATAAGATTATAAAATAATACTGAAACTTTAAATAAAACAGTGTGAAGTAACAAGAAATACAAAACTCGTATAGTAAAACCTTATGAATTGTCTTTACAGTGTTTTTACTTTGAAGATTCAATATTATTCATGTAGTTTCATGGGTTTTATGAAAATGTTAATAACTTTTCATCTATATAAGTTTTAATGGTTTTAAATGTTTAAATTATAGTTTTAATAATTAAATAAAAATATAAAATCTTAAATTTTAAAAAAAAAAATGTGTGTTAAGAGTTAGAGAGAGTGAGAGAAATATTGATGGACGTAGGAGGGATGATGTGATAAAAGAAAAGTAATTATTATTTATTATTTATAATTTATAAAAATGTAGAATAAAGAAATGTTATGGGTTAAGACGAGGATTGAAGGAGTAAATATTTAAGTGGTTTATTTTGGACTTTTTTGGTCTATCATGATCAAGTCCAAGGCTTATCCATAAAAGCAAAGTTAGATCCACATCACACACACACATATCTCTATAATATAAATATAAAAAAAAAACACACACACACATATATATATATATATATATATAGATCATGTGAGACCAAAATTTTTTTTGAGACCCGTAAGACCAATTCTCAACAATTGGATTAGATCTACAATCTGAACATTCATAAGCACAAAATTGTCACGAGACTTCTCAATAATCACAAAATTATCACCGTGCAACTTTAGACCATTATATCATTAGCTTATAAAGTTGATCAATGAACATAAATTGGTCTTAGGGGTCTCACACGAAAAACCCTTGGTCTCACGTGAACCCAACTCTATATATATTAGAAGGGTACTCGCGCAATGCAGCAAGATACATGTACATTTTAATGTTTCATTTTATTTTTTGTTTCTGTTGATATGTAAATACGGTTTATGTGGTTTTTATAAAGATAATGTTTTTACTTTTGAATAAAAATGAATTTGAAAATATCATAAAAAATTGTAAAAATATATCGATATTAGTATCAAATTGACTATTTAAAAGTTCTCGTTTTTTGTACAATTTCTGTAATTCAATTTTTTATTATAATTTAATTTAGGTTTAATAGGGAAGTAGTTTATTTTTGACTTAACAATATAATTTTTATAAAGATAATGATTCCGTTTGAACTCAATGATTATCCTAATTATGTTATAGATTTTTTTATATTTAGAAATTAAAATGAAATGTTTATCTTGTATTAGATTATGTTTATCAGTGGTTAGTTATACGAATTCAAAAATTGAGCTTTAATAAGTCGTACTTACGCACAATTTTACTTGTAGTCTTAGATTTTAAGTAATATGCATTAATAAACAGTACTTAATACATAAAGAATGATTTTTAAGAGTTTTTGTCAAATGTTTGGCCTTTTTACCATGACTTCCATTATTAGAATTGATGGAAGGGTGAATATCTCTTCTTACGTTTTTCACCATAAATTTCTTTTTCATTAAAACTCAACCATATATATATATATATATATATATGTGTGTGTGTGTGTGTGTGTGTGTGTGTTATATAAGCGAAATATCATGTGATAAAAGAAGTTATAGTAAGAAATGTAAGAAAATAGCTAAATTCATGAGATGGGAATTCATCCGGTGCATCTCTGTGCACATAATCAGTGTTAACATTCAATTAAGATTGATTCAAGGATGAAGATTTCTTCTTACGTTTTTCATCATAACTTCTTTTCTTACCGTAACTCAACCATATATATATATATATATATATATATATATATATATATAATTGTTAATACAATGTTTTTGTATTAAATGTGTCCTTAAAAACGTGTTAAGACAGCAAAAAAACGTTTTATAAACTTATTACAACGGCTTCAGATAAGATGTTTTATTTATATATATATAATTGTTAATACGATGTTTTTGTATTAAATGTGTCCTTAAAAACGTGTTAAGACAGCAAAAAACGTTTATAAACTTATTACAACGGCTTCAGATAAGATGTTTTATTTATATATTTTTATATATATATATATATATATAATTGTTAATACGATGTTTTTGTATTAAATGTGTCCTTAAAAACGTGTTAAGACAGCAAAAAACGTTTTATAAACTTATTACAACGGCTTCAAATAAGATGTTTTATTTTTTTTGTCCTGTAAATTAAGTTCAATAAAACAAATTATTATGACACTTAAAAATTGATAAAATCCTATAAACCCAACTGTATCAATCACATGTAATATTTATAGAAATACTCTTATTTTACTTTTTTGTTTCTAACATTCTTTCTGCCCTTCTCTCTCTCTCTCTCTATATATATATAAGTATATGTCATGGATGATTTAATAAATTCAAAACTATGGATTAAAGTATGACACTTCAACACAAATAATGGAATATTCTTAATCTAAAATCAATGAGTTGTTTGATTCGGTATGTGATTAAATAAAATATAATAATTGCTAACAAAATATATAAAACACTCTTCAACAACATATAATATTTCCTAAGACTATATAATTGATAATATATATAATTATATAAAAAAGTAACATACTTTAATTTAATTTTTATTTTGGGTAACGTACTTTCAAGACTTTCATTTTGGTACCTAAGATGTAAAGTTTTAAACATCTAAATATACGGGTAACCAATTAAAGCATTACGTTACTGTTTATATACTCGATAGAATGAAATCGATATTAAATGAAGAAAGAAAAACCCGTTACTATTTTAATCAAATTTGAAAAAGATTAATTTGACTCCTTCATGTCATCGTATCGAATAATATTTAATGTGTTATTAATCCAACCTAACCACATGACTTATCCGTTCACATCTTTTGATTTTAAATTTTTTAAAATGGTATGTTATTTTGTGTCTGGTCAACCTACAACTTTTGACTTTTAATATAACCAAAATCTTGAAACGTTTTCCGTGCGTTGCACATTCAAATGGTTATAACTTTCATGATTTTGATTTTTTTTGGGATCAAAAGTCAATAATTCGAATATTATGTTTATACTGTTCAATAAATTACTGATATTTGTCTATTTCAAAATAAATATACACGATGAAAATTGCATATAGTTTTAAGATTGTGTAGTTATTACTACATATTTTAATTAACCGAATGACAATTTTATCTTTAATAACAATGAGAGAGAGAGAGGGAGATTTTTTTGTAACATCAAGAGTCAATTGTATCAGATATTGTTTGTTTTGTCCATACACCTAGACTTACAGTTTTAAAACGCATCTGATAGATGAGGTATTCAGTTCCTTATAAGACAATTTTTGTTCCCCTCCTCAACCGATGTGAAATCTTACATTTGTTTGGTGAACACTTATTGATAAGGGTCAACACTTTTACTTATCTGATCGGATAATATTATAGTCCATCAAGACAATATTGTATACAAAAATTTATCAGGTAAAAGTCGTCACACTCACTTACGTTGTAAGACTCTTGATCTTTGTCAATGCTCTTACCAGGTAAGAATTTTGATCTTTTCCATATCCATCCAGAAATACAAATGATATGATAGACATTAGGTAAACGACTCTTAAATTCTGCTCATTTCAATTTGTTGTATGATAATCTTGGTTTTGATTCAAAACCTTTTCGAATGTGATTTTATTTGTTTTTTACATGAGAATGCGGTTTTTGAAACATGATCCTTATGTTATAAAACAATTATTTTAAATATTTGATAAATAAACTATAAGATTGGTGCCTGAATAGTTTGAACTTGGCTCCAAAGGTCAAAAGTACCAGGAGATCTTAAGTTCAAATCCAATGAGAAATAAAAATTCTCTTATGGCCACGGAGGTTCAAATGCGGTGACTTCGGGCTATCTGTAAAGCAGGTGGTCGTCCTGGGATTAGTCGGTTTGCATAGCGGGTTGGATATCTAGGTTAATCAAAAAAAAAATATTTGATAAATAATTAAAAAAAAATTATATGTCGAATTACCTGTACGTCATTTTCTTTTTCTTTTTTGGATTAGAAATATTACCCAAAATAAGTAAATGACTATTGGTTGTTATTTTCTTAACCCATTTTTCCTTTCAAATTGTCTCAAAATATGCAAGTGGCTCTTGTGCCACATGTGAAAAATATACATTTTGTACTCTCCCTAGGAAACAAATGTTTGGCAAACATGAGTTAAATTATATTCGGTGTATATGTTTGGATGACCATAAACTAACTTATAAGTTAATTTAATTTGAAACGTTACTTGGAGTAGTGTTTTGAGAGTTTATTGTGACTTTTTTCTAATTATAATTCTCCTTGATATTAATTATTATTTATTATCATTAATAATAAATAAATATTAATTATTTAAAACAATATTAATCATATCAATTATTTTATAGTTATTATTCAATATATTTAGTTATTAAAAAGTAAATA